GACTGGAGCAGTGGGAGTAAGTGCGTTTGAGATGGCTAGGTTGACACAGGATAGAACAGCATTTAGAGCTCTTGTACATAGGGTCGCTATGAGTTACAAGCGACTCGATGGCACATAACAACAACAACAAGTCACCATTTCACCTCACCAGAGAGCCTAGATAATTTTATGAAAGATCTTGAAATTCTGGAAACTGTTCTGCTCAATCTATTAAGGCCTCCCTAGAGAAGTCCCAGAACTGTAGAGTATTGAAGAAACTCTTTTAGCAATATCCATACGCAGACAATAATTTTGTAACTTTTTTAGTGTGTCTCAGGCATTGCACTTGCTGCGAAGGGTCAAGGACTGCAGCCTTCAGTATGGACTGAGGCTCAATGTCAAGAAGACAGAGATTCTCGCCACTGGACCAATTGGCAGCGTCAGGATGGATGACGAAGAGGTTGAGAGTGTTCACAGCTTCCGTTTGCTCGGCTCCACGGTCAACACTCTTGGCACCAGCAGTCAGGAAATCAAAAAGCGTATCGCAATGGGAAAGTCTGCTGTTAGGGACCTCTCTAAGGTACTCAGGAGCAACAGTGTCTCTCTGGAGACTAAGGTGCGCCTGATACAGGCCGTGGTCTTTGCAATCGCTTGTTATGCATCAGAGAGTTGGACAATGACTAGGGAGGACAGAAGGAGAGTGGATGCTTTTAAGCTGTGGTGCTGGAGAAGGGTACTGAATGTACCCTGGACTGCCAGGAAAACAAACAGATTCATCTTGGAGAGGATTAAACCAAGCTACTCCTTGGAGGCAAGGATTCTGGGGCTTCGTCTGACATACTTTGGGCATGTTGCCAGGAGGGAAGGGTCCTTGGAGAGGGACATCATGCTTGGGAGGTTGGAGGGACAGCGCAGGAGGGGAAGACCCTCTATGAGATGGATTGATTCGGTGACTGGGGTAATCGGGATGGGTGTGTCAGAGGCGGTGCGGTTGGCGCAGGATAGAGCAGGGTTTAGGGCTGTTGTGCATAGGGTCACTATGTGTCGGAAACGACTCGACGGCACATAACAACAACAACAACTCAGGCATTTTAAGCATGACTTCTGCAGTAATCAAAAAATCAAAAGACATACCCCATTGGATAAATCTGTCACAGACCTCTTTAAATGGCGAGAGCTAGGATGTTAAAGATTATGGTGCACCTGACCCAAACAGTATTTTCAGTTGCTGCACCTGCATCTGAAAGTTGGACAATGTGTGAGGAAAACTAAGGAATTGATGACTTTGAACTGTCATGTTGAGGAAGAGAGTTGAATTTATAACATAGACTGCCAAAAGAATAAGCAAATATGTTTTGGATGGAGATGCAACCAGGGCACTCCTTGGAGACAATGATGGTGAAACTTCATATTGTATACATCTTACATACTTTGGGCATGTTATCAAGAGATGCCAGTCCTTGGAAAAAGACATTATTCTTGGAAAAGGAGAGGGTCAGCAAGACAGTGAAAGACCCTCAATGAGATGGATTTACACAGTGACTGCAACTATGGTCTTGAGCATGGTAGTGATTCCGAAGATGGTGCAAGATAGGGCATGGTTCCCATCTTTTACTCGTAGAGTCACTATGAGTTGTAGTCTACTCAGTGTCTCCTCACAACAATAGTAACATTTGTGCTTCACATTACAGTTTATATTCTTCATTCAAAAGAGGATGTTGGTAATAGAGTCTGATTTACTAATCCATTAAATATGGATTATATAATGTAGTATTTAGGGGAGGGGACAGTTGATATATTTTCCCCTGTAAAAATAGCTACCGACTTTAATTTATTCATTGCAAATACTTTTTTAAAAAAATCAAATGGGAATTATATACATGACTCTTAACCTGGCATATTACAGAGGAATCTGAATGACCACCTCTATTGAAAGAGAAAGCAGAAAAGCTCAGTATCAGCAGTAAAAATAAGTCTAGAAGCTGACTATGTAACAGACCATATACATCTTATTTGTATGCAAGTTCAAACTGAAAGTGAAAAAATGAAAACGAGTCCATAAGAACCAAATACAACCTTGAGTCTTTTCCAGCTGAATTATTAACCATGTCAGGAATAGATTTTGATGCATTGAAGACTAATGACCAAAGACCAGAAAAGTTGTGGGATGACAGCACAAAGTCATTACAAAGACAAGGAAGAAAGCAAACACCAAAACTGATGTCAGAAGAGACTCTGAAACTTGCTCTGGAACATAGATAGGCTGAAACAAAGGGAAAGACATTCTGGAGTAAGAGAGCTGAGCAGAATTTTCCAAAAGGCAGCTTGAGAAGACAAAACAAAGTATTATTATGAAATGTGCAAAGAGTTGGAGTTAAACAGCCAAACAGGAAGAACATGCTCAGCATTTCTCAAGCTTAAAGAACTGAAGAACAAATTTAAGCCATGAGTTGCAATACTGAAGGATGTTATGGGCAAAATGTTGAATGACAGAGGAAGTGTCAAAAGAGGTGGAAAGAATACACAAAGTCACTATTACAAAAATAATTGATTGACACTGAAACATTTCAGGAAGTAACGTTGATCAAGTACAACCAACCACTCAGGAAGACAGTTTGGCGTTTTCTCAAAAAGTTGAACATAGAAACTCTGTATGGCCTAGTTATTTCACTACAAGGAATATACCCCAAGGAAATTAGACCTGAGACACAAACAGAGAACTGTATACCACTGTTCATAGCAGCATTACTCACCATTGCAAGATCATGGAAACAGCCCAAATGTCCAACTAAAACTGAATGGACTGAGAAATTGTGGTACACTCACATATTAGAATAGTATACAGCACTCAGGAACAACAATTTAAAAAAATACTACATAACTTAAGAGAGACTTGAGAGAATTATGTTGAATGAACTAATTCCATCTCATAAGGACAAATACTGCATAAGACCCTTCTTGTAAAAATAGAAGGACAACTAGTAAAACATGTATGGGGACCTAAGGGGAGAGAGCGTGTTAGCAGAGGGGTAAAGGTAGGTAGGGGCGAAACCACAGGGTTGCACAGTTTGGTGAGTGGAGGGAGAGGATGAAGGAAATGGGAAGGATCCAGGAGGGACCTGAAAAGATTGGGGAAATAATGAGCAAGGTCAAATGGTGATTGATTTTCTAGAATGTAATGCATAGGAATGATTGTATGAAACACAGTATGGATTAAAAATAATATGAAACACAGTGTAAAAGAACTTTTTGAGCAAACCAATATAAAATAATTTAAGAAAAAAACATGCAACAATGAAAGAATCATTTTAAAGAGAAAAGCAAACTGGGTGGTGGGGAGGTAGGGAGGAAAGTATGCAACAATGAATGAATAGAAATCCAAAATAGCAATTTAAAAGATTTTTTTAAAAACCAGTGGTAATGGAAGAAGAAGCTGCACTGAAAGCATTGGCAGAAAAAAATAAGGCCCCAAGAATTGATGGAATACCATTGAAGTGTTTCAGGAAACAGAAGCAGCTTACCCAGTCTCTCTCAGTGAATTTGGAAGATAGCTACTTGGCTAAGAAACTGGAAGACAGTTCCTATACCCAACAAAGAGGATCTAACAGACTATGGAAATTATCAAACAATATTGTTAATACCTCATCCAAGTAAAATCTTGCTGAAGATTATTTTAAAGTTACTAGAACAGAAAAACAAAATTATTAGAACAGTGCATCAACAGGAAACTTCCAGAAATATAAGCTGAATTGGGCAAAGTTGTGACATAAAGGATATCATTGCTTATGTCAAATCCAGATTGAAAGCAGAAATTATCAGAAAGATGTTTACTTGTGTTTTACTGACTATGTAGAGCCATTTGACTTGATGGATCATAACAATTTATGGATAACATTGAGAAGAATGGGAATCCCAGAACACTTAATTATACTCATATGAAACCTATACCTAGACCAAGGAGTAGTTGTCAGAGCAGAACAAAGTAACACTGCATGGTTTTAAATCAGGAAAGATGTGTGTCATGTATTGTTCCTTTCTCCATACTATTAAATATGTATGCCACAGAAATTACTCAAGAAGCTGGACTACATGAAAAAGAATTGAAGGAATACAGTCGACACTATCTTGCTTGCAGAAAGTGAAGAAGTTTTGAAACACTTGTTGCAGATAATCTACAAGCAGATTTGTAGAAGACTACAGCCTTCATTATGGGTTATATCTCAACATCAAGAAAACAAAAATCCTCACCAGTAGGCAGCATCAGGATAGATACAGAAAAGATTGAAGTTGTCAGCTATTTCATTTTCCTTGCATCCACAATAAACATCAGTAGCAGTAGTGAAGAAACCAAAAGGCATTGGAGAAATCTACTATCAAAGACTTCTTTAAAATGCTAAAGAGTAGCGATGACAATTCAGACACTTTAGATATGCCTGATCTAAGCCACAATATTTTCAGTTGCTTCCTATAAATCTTGAAAGTTGGACAATGGATAAAAATGCCCAAGAAGAATCACTGTTTTTTAATTGTCTTAACAAAGGATACTGAATATCCCATGTATTGCCAAAAAGTCTCTCTTGGAGGAAGTACAACCAGAATGCTCCAAGGATGGTGACACTTCGTCTCACATACCCTGGTCATGTCAAGAAGGGCCATTCCCTGGAAAAAGATAGCACACTGGGAAAGGTAAAGGGTCAGAGAAAGAGAGGAAGACCCATGATACTGTAAACTGTCACAGTGACTACAGCGATGAAACTGAGATGACAAAGGTCATAAGGAGAGTACAGGAAAGGGCAGTCTTCCCCACCTGTTGTTCATGGTGTTGCTTTGAGTAGTAGTTGACTCCTTCACGACAACAACAACAACACTTTTTTTTCCAATGACTTGGATATTTCTTCAGAATAAATTTTCTGGCTTATATCCAAAAGATTATCAATTTAATATTTAAAACAATGAAATAACTTTTAGTCTCTATTTGACTCCTCACAGGTGCGTCAGTATGTTGTACAAGTGATCTTCTCTGTGACATTTGCATTTTCTTGCACTATGTTTGAGCTCATCATCTTTGAAATCTTGGGAGTGCTGAATAGCAGGTAAGATGAATAAATTAAGTAATATGTAACTCTCCTCTCAAAGACACTTGTATTACTTTCTTTAGTGGAAAAGTTACCTAGTCTCATAGCTGTGGAAACACCTAACATTTTGTCAGTACATTGTCTCAGTAATACATTGCAGCAAATAGAGGCATCTCAGCCACCTAGTAACTGGGGTGACAAAGATTATGAGACAAACAAGAGTGTGAGGGATGGGAGGAGTTGAATAATTAAAAGGAATATATTCATTCCTTGTTATTGTTGATAGATGCTGTTGAGCCGAGTGTGACTCATAGCGATCCTGTGAATGACAGATCTGAACGGTATCCTATCCTGTGCCATCCTCACAATCTCGGACACACTTGAGCCCATTGCTGCAGTAACTGTGTCAATCCACCCAGTGGAGAAGTCTTCCTCTCTTGCACCATCCCTCCACCTTGCCAAGCATGATGTCCCTCTCCAGTCAATAGCCTTTCCTAGCAACATGCCCAAAGCATGTCAGATGAAGCTTTATCATCTTTGCCTCTGAACCTTATTTTTTTTTCCTTTTCCAGTTTTACTGATTTCTAATAAAAGTCCTTTACCTTGTTCTGCTAGTTGAAAATCCCTACCTGAAAAAAATCTGAATTCCTTTCCCCAGAGCTATTTAGAGGTTTCTCTGACAACTGCACTCTAATTCTTGCTAAATTAGTTGACATCAAGGAACTTGGTGACGTAGTATGTTACATGTGGTATTTCAAACTGAAAGGTCAGTGGTTCAAATCCTCTGACTGCTTCATAGAAGAAAGATGAACAGTGTCCTTCTATTAAGATTTATAGCCACAGATACCTGATAGAGGGACACCATGAGTCAATCTATTCTAAGGCAGTGGTTTTGGGAATTTTAATTATTACTAATTTTTACAAATGTCATCAAATCTAGTAGAACATAGTTTGTAAAGCAACTTCTTTCTCTCTTCAAATAAAAGACCCATTAGTTGATAAGACAGTTTGTCCAAAATGTTTTTTTAACTGCTAAGACTGATTAAAATGTTCTAAAATTGTGATAATAGTTATACAAATCTCTAAATACATAAAAAAACATTTTCTTATATTAAACACTGTTATCCATTTTAAGTAAGTATATGATATTTATGTAATACTTCAATAAAGGTATTATGAAAAGGAATTTTAAAAATTAAGTCCTTTTAAATTATGTAATAAAATATATTTTATAATCAGTCATGAAACTAATCCTATAAATCACATTTTTAATTGTATTGGGGATAGAAAAGAGTGTTTCTTAATACTTATAGCATGTATTCACCTTTATTTTCTTCTAATTCTCTTATTAGACTAAGATTTCCACTGAAGAAACAAAACAATAGTCATTCCACCAATAGTGTTATGTGTTGATGTGTCTTTTGATCTGTCTTGCTTATGAATATAGCTAAAACATTGGCATTCTCATTTTTGTAAGTGAAGTTCTTGGGAGACTAAGATGGTCACATTTACCTTTTAGAATTTTATATCTAATTTTTAATGTCTACAGATGAGCAGATAGCCTAGTTGGGTAATCAGATGGAATAATTTGGCATTAGTTCAGACAACAAGGGTTTAAAGTTGCCGCCTCCTTCCCGTAGCTGTAATATTCTTTCACATGTGTTTCAGCTCTCGTTATTTTCACTGGAAGATGAACTTGTGTGTAATTCTGCTGATACTGGTTTTCATGGTACCATTTTACATCGGTTATTTTATCGTCAGCAACATCCGGCTGTGTGAGTACTTTGCCTTTTTATGTTAATACATAGATTGAGAAGAGTATTTGGGGGAATCAAGGTTATGGAGGACTCCATTTCTACATTGCTTTCAGGTGTTGCTGCTACATGGGGTACCTAACATACTGCATCCACTAAAAAGATTGACACCAAAAAAAATATTTCTTAGGGAATGATTTAGACTAGTTGTTTCTGCCACAGTGGCATTTCTGTTTCTACTACCTTAATTTCCCCCTTAACTCACATCTCAGCTTCAGGCAGGTTTCATTGATGCAATCCCAGAGGTGTTTGGTTCAAATCCACCAGATGCTCTGCTGAAGAAGGAGGGACAATCTCCTCCTGTACCAGTCAGATCCGATTTGATGGTACACACATAACAAAATAATAATAATAATTTCTAAAAAATTGTGTTGTCCCGTTATTCATTTACCAAGTGAACAAGCCAGTCGAATTTTAATGAACTTGGTCCTATACTCTCAAGTACAGGAAGCTCTTTAGCATATGTCTGTTTTCTAACAGTTTTGTCTCTCTTTGTCTTAGTGCATAAGCAGCGGGTGCTTTTTTCCTGTCTCTTATGGTTGACCTTCATGTATTTGTTCTGGAAAATAGGAGATCCATTTCCCATTCTCAGCCCCAAACATGGTAAGTGTGTAGCAGGAGAATGGGAGAGGAGGAGGTTGCTTAATTTTCTAGCTTTGAAAAATTCTTTTAAAATGTATGCTTATGGGCCTTAGAACAGCAGATGATTTCTTCTAGAAGTGATTTCTTTGAAAAAATGTTCTGTTTTAGAATAAATTTTCTATTTCATCCTACCCATTGTCGTTAAGTCGATCCTGACTATAAGACAGTAGAACTGTCCCTTAGGATTTCCAAGGCTGTAAATCTGGACAGACGCGAACAGTGGAACAGCAGAAGCAAACTGCTGACATTTTGGTTAGCAACTAGTGCTTTAGCCACTGCACTGCCAGGATTCCTTTCCTTTATCCTAAAAAGTATCAAATGGTGATTTTAGAACATTTCTGTTTTTCTAGAACAGAAGTTTGGGGCTTTCTATTAGTAAATAGCTTCTAGAGAGTAAGTTTGAGGAGACAACTAAATCTACTATGTACACAATTATAGAATATGTGCATTTGAAATGAAATCTCCATAAGCCTATTTTTTCTCTTTTTATATATTTTTGCTTGATTTTACTTCTATCCATAAGCTTTTTCAAATTCCCAAAGGACTCTATTACCGAAAAGATAAACGAGTATGGTTTATTGTGATAAATGACAATGCACTGTCAACGTTAGTTTTTATCTAAACTTAAAAAGTAAGCAGTTGAAGAGACTACGGCCTGGATAACGCTTATGTCAGTCTCTAGTCTGACATCGTTACTCTTTAACACTTTGGAGAGGTCCCTGACAGCAGACTTTCCTAAAGCATCTTACCTTTTGATTTCCTAACTGCTAGTGCGAAGAGTGTTGATTGTGAATCCAAGCAAGACATAATTGTTAGCGGGCTTCATCTTTTCCCCATCTCTGATGATATTGCCAGTAGGCATATTATTTATTGAATGCCTGCTATAGGACAAGCAATAAAGAAAAAAAAGATAAATATGACAGCCATTATTTCTTCCTGGAAAGAGAATGCAAGTTCAAGAAATATTTTATTTATTTTTTTTTTAATTTTCTTCTCTTTGTAAATCTTATTTTATCTAGCTTCTTTGAGCAGTTGGTTTTTCAGGAATCCCAAAGAAGAATTGCTTTTTTAAAGTCGTGTTGGTAGAGAATATTGAATATACCATGAATTGCCAAAGAAAGAAATATTTTTAAAATAAGATTGACAAAATTTAGATGGAGATTATGTATTCATGCAACATTCCTCAAATCCTTGCTGCATACCTGTGCATATGTACTGCATACCTATTAAGTGAGATACATCCATGAATAAAGCAAACTTGTTCTCTGATATCCTAAAACTTACAGCTTGGTAAAATAAGATTAGGTAATAAAGAGGTAGATATATAAATAGTTATCGTGATCATTATTATCAATGAGCAGATTTTTGTGATAGACTATAATACAGTTAAAGATACCAAATTATCACAAATCAACCTTTCTTAAGAAATTGTTCTTCATCCTTCATTTGAAGTGTAGTACCAAAGGAGACAACGTATAAACATATGAAGTAGAAAAGATTTCAAAGGGAATAGGAGCTAGGAGTGTATATTTTTTATTTTTGTGACTAGATAGTTGCTAATATAATTTTAAAGATAATACAAAAGAAGAAACAAGTTAGGGAGCAAGATAATTTCAGTTTAAGATAGGTTGAGGTTGGGTGGCGAAACTGTCTCACATAATCTGAACATGGTAATTATAAGGAGCCGGTCCCTAGAGAAGGGCAGTATGCTTAGAAAAGTAGGTCAGAGAACAAAAAAAACCTTAACAGTATAGATTGGCACAGTGGATTGACTTGCAACAACAGTCTAAAACACGGCAGAGATTAGGAGGCTGGCTCAGGATTGGGCAGGATTTCATTCTGTTGTACAAAGGACAGCTCTGCGTCAGAGCTGATTCAGCAGTACCTAACAGCAAACAGCAGCACACACATTCAGGTGATGATATTCAGTAGGCGATCAGATATACAAGTAAAGAAGCTTAGTAAAAAGGTGTAGATTTATCAGTCCACATATTAATGATGCCAAGAATCTTAAAAAAAGAAATAACATCTTATCAGCTAAGTACCATTAGAGAAGCTGGAGAAATAGATAGATCACCTAAGAGAAATATGTGTGATCTGAAAAGAGAGAAAGACAATTGTGACCCCTGCAGAGAAAAGGCCAAGAAAACTCAACTAGAGAAGCAGAAAGGAAAATAATTTTAAACAGAAAAGACTTAGTTCCATAGACATCAGATAAAACAGAGATGGGCAACTGTTACTCAATTTTGCAACAAGGGGAAAATGTATGACCATATTGTGGTAATGGTTAAGAATTCTGACTGAAGGTGGACTCCTTGGGTTTGAATTCTAACTTTACTGCTTATTAGTTAAGTATCCTTAACTATGTTACTTAACATATTTGCCTCACTTTCTGCATCTGTAAATGGAGTTTTCAGTAATGGTTACCTCATAAAGTTGTTAGGATTAAATGAGTTAATGCTTAAAACAGTGTAATAATCCACCACCATCTGGTTGGGTTTGACTCATAACAATCCTACCTCAGTTTTCCAAGACTATAAATCTTTATAGGAAACTGCCCATCTTTTTTCTAGAGAGCAGCTATTTGAAGCACTAATATTTTGACTAGTAGTTCAACATATAACACACTATACCATCAGGGTTCCTCTGTATATCAGTTCAGAATTCACCTCAGTGCCTTGAGTCAGAACTGACTAATAGCTGCCCCTACAGGAGGTTCTCAGAAACTCTAAATCTCACCGGAGGAGATTGCCCATCTTTCTCCTGTGAAGCAGCTGGAGAATTTGAACCACCAACCTTTGGTTTGTCATTGCAACCCCCCCACCTATTGGTGAAATTGTTTTTACTAATAGTAATTGTTTTATATATATATATATATATATATATATATATATATATACACACACACAGAGAGAGAGAGAACACACGCTGGATTGCAGCCAGTTGAGGAATCAATGGGAGATCAGATAGAAGTGACAGAACTCTGAAAGGGGAAATAGAGGGGACACACTGAAGGCCTAAGAACTAACATTTTTGGGGAAGACCAGAAACACAAGTAGAAAAATGTTAGCGTTTACAAATACCATCTTGATTACAGATGTAAATATAGATAAAATTAAGGTAGTTTGCGCCTAATTTCTTATTCCTTACATAATGAGAGGATTAACTTTGGCAATGACAAACCAAACCAACTTGCCATTAAGCCAATTCCAATCTTTAGTGGCTACATAGAACAGTAGAGCAGCCCCATAGGGTTTCTAAGGCCATAAACTTTACAGTAGCGGATTGCTACATCTTTCTTTACCAGAGAAGCTGGTGGATTCAGATCACTTGACTTTCACTTAGTAGTGGAATGCTTTGCACTATGAGGATCCCTCAAGGTTAAAGATCAGTAAAAGGATTTTAAGAAATGGCTATTGAGGAAAATGGGAAGAAATGACTGGCCAAAGGCAGGAGAAACTCAATAGTGTTTTAGCTCTCTTAAGACTGAAAAACACAAATTTGTAAAGGCATCTCTATCACAATGCATTTTAAAATTTCTGGACACAAAAAGGGAGCTCTGGTGGCTTAGTGACAAGAAGCTGCACTGCAGTCCCAAAGGTTCCCAGTTAGAATTCTCCAGATGCTCTGCTAAGAAGGGGCAATCTCCTTCTGTGCCTGTCATATCAGACTCTGGTACACACACACACACACACACACCAAAAAAAAACCCAAATAAAATTAAAAGCATCAATGATTTAAAAAAAAAGTTCTGGACAGCTCAGGCCTGGGGACAGGAAAGATAAAGTACTATTCCAGGGTTGGGGGTTTGTGAGGCAAGTGCTTCAGAAAGAGAAGCATAAGGAACTGACAGTGCTGGTGAGAATATTAGTAGCACACAAGCCTGGAATCCAAGCCTGGAGAAAAGGGAAATAGGAGTTAGAGGAAATAAATGACTGAGACCAGAACTTGCAATGAACTCCAAAACAAATGTAGTGAGATTAAAAGGAAGCTCTAGTGGTAAGAAACTGCACTGCAGTCTCAAAGACGCCGGGTTTGAATCCACCAGCTATTCTGCAGAAGAAAGATGGTTAATCTCCTCCTGTGAGATATGCTGGCTCTGAAAATGCACTGGAGGAGGATCAGCTATACATCTCTTTCAATTCAAAGGCAAACAATAGCAATGAAGTTAAAAGAGCATTCATGACTGTGGAAGTGGGGTGGGGGAGGTAATCTGACATGGAATATTGGAATTTTCTGTTTCTAAACTGACAGAATAGATGAATGCCAGCTGTCATGTTTAGCCATAGCAGTGAATGGCTGAAAGTGATTATAGCCTGGAAAATAAGATGTAGAAATAAATTAAAATTCCCTTTTTCTGTGACTCCAGACTCTATGAGTTATTAAACATGACTTTCATTTATCTTCAATAATTAATTGGTAGTGTTTATTTTAGCGACATTGTTGATTTCAACATTCTCAAGTGATAGCATAATAGATAATTAGAATACAAGTGCTCATCTAAAACAAAATTTGAGTTACTTACCTATAAATTCTTACCATTTACTAGTTGTATTATATGTTTATTGAATTCAAAAGTGTTACAACATAAACTAAGGCACTTGCTTTTGACCTAAGAGGAGAAGAATGGATAAAATGAAGATAACTGTATTACACAGTATTATGTGCTATTTAATACATTTCCAATAGCATTACAGTTTGTACACTTTTGCAAAAGCTTCTACTAAAAGTATTTTGCTTTGTTACAGTTCATACTGCCTACTTATAGTAAACGTTATTTCTAATTATTGTTTTTATTATTATTTACTATTTATGTTATATACTGTGGAATCAGAACCAACTTATTTAGCTGGCCCACTAGTAGATTTTCAGAAGCTATAAATCACTTTGGAAGAGATTGCCCAGCTTTCTTCCTTTGAGAAGCTGGTGGATTTGAACCACATGCCTTTGGTTTAGCAGTACAACTCCTTACCAGTAGGCCACCATACTTTCCAATTTTATTATTACCATCTCTCAGTAATAGAGATGATTTGAAAGCATGTGAGATTACGGAAAACCCAACAGACATTTATAAATTTAGTATTTGTAATTGATATTTTCTTTTGCAGTGTAGGTGATAACCAGTTTGTCTGTATTATTTAACACTGATGTGTTTTGGTGTTTTTAGGAATCCTGTCTATAGAACAGCTCATCAGCCGGGTTGGTGTGATAGGGGTGACTCTCATGGCTCTGCTTTCTGGATTTGGTGCTGTCAACTGTCCATACACTTACATGTCTTACTTCCTCAGGTAATCACAAGTTAGTCTCCTTTTTCTCTATTCCTTGAATAAATATGTCATATTACTCATCATCACTAATATTTACATATTATATCCATGATATTATATTTTTATTCTTTTGTCTGTAAGAACGTTGACCCAAGAACTGGTCTAAATAACTCCTAAGACGTTTCTCAGTTGTCCTTGTTATTTTTTCTTCATTTGTTTATTTTTTTAATGGCAAATTTAAGTCTAAATCTCCCTTCCCAAAACACTAAAAAACAAACAAACCCAAAAGCTCATTGCACAGTGTATTTTAATTTCTTAAAATTATTATTAATTTTAATGAAACTTTGCAGAGACTTTGGATTTCCATTCATTCACTGTTGCACTTTTCTCCCTGCCCATCCCTCCTCCGCAGTTCGCTCTTCTCTTTGAAAAGTAAAAGAAAAATTCTTTCATTGTTATACAATCTCTCCCTCCAAGTCCACTCTACTATGCAGCCTTCATTCTGGACTCCTGTCATGACAATAATACCTAATCATATATCCCTTTTAAAAGTTCTCTCCCTCTTCTGTTTCAATGCAGTATACATAATTTATCCTATCTTTCTCAGTCTCCCACCAAACCCTATGTCAGTCCCGTTTTACAATAGTGGCACTATGCAATATTTGTCCTTTTGTAACTGAGGTATTTCATTGAGCATAATATCCTCCAGAGTCACCCATTTTGAATAATATTGCATGAGTTCCTTGGTTTTCAATGCAGCGTAGTATTCCATTGTGTATACCACAGCTTCTTTATCCATTAGTTTGTTGATGGGCACTTAGGTTGTTTGCAGCTCTTTGCTATTGTGAACAAAGCCACAATAAACATGGGTGTGCATATATCTGCTTGAGTCACGGTTATGGTTTCCAGTAGTGGAATTGCTGGGTCAAATGGTATTTCTATTTGCAACTTTTTGAGAAATTGCCATACTGCCTTCCATAGTGGCTGCACCATTTTACACCCCCACCAGCAATGAATAAGGGTTCTAGTTCCTCTACAACCTCGCCAGCATTTGTTTTTTGCTGTTCTGTTAAATTTTGCTATTCTTACTGGGGTGAGATGATATCTCATAGTTGTTTTCAAATGTATTCTAATTTTTTAAATAAACTAGTATAATAAAAAAAATTATTTTTATAAACCACCTCATTACCATCAAGTAGGAACCAACACTGCTGACCCTCCATTGAGTTTTCAGAGGCTGTAAGTCATATGGGAGGAGATTGCCCATCTTTGTCCCACAGAGCCCCTACTGGATTCAGACTGCCAGAGATGGGCCACTGTAGGATTAACAACACAGCTCACTACCAACTACACCACCAGAGCCCCCTCTCCCACCTCACAGCATAGCCTTCAAGACACATTCCTAGTGGACAGCAACATGAAGTAACTCCAACTTCAACAAATCAGTCCCTCCCAAACATCGTATTATAGGTGATCTTTTTTACCAAGTTAAAAATCAAGTTGTTTGCCAAATTTAAAAAGTTGTCGCTTTCTACCAAATTAAAAATATTCTTAAACAACAAACTTTTAGAATTATATCAGTGTCACTGAATATACAATTCTGAATACTGCAATACTGAGTAATTAATTTAACAATGTAGAAATTGTTAAATTAGCAACTACTTTGTTACATGTATTTTTTAAAAAATCTTTTTTTAATAATTTTTATGTATGTAT